ATCAGGTATGAAAATCATAGTTTTCACATGAAAGATCAATATATTGTTATTGATTATAACATATCAGAATTTATTTGTGTGATTTTATTTTGGTTTTTTACTAATAATATATTATCAATATTTATTTTTTCCTTTTAGTCATCTTGTTTGTCATGTAACATTTTGCCATGCTGAAACAAACCATTTTAATGTTTATAATAGATATTTTGACATCAGATATCTAAGTAAGTAATATCTAAAAATTTTAAACATAGATTTAAAATGCTTTAAAGCTGGGCATGGCAGCAGCTCCACAGCTGAGGGTGCTGGATCATCAGACCAAGGCCAGCCTGGGCAAGGGAAGAACCGGCCTTAAAATAAGTGCACACACAAATAAGTGCTCAGACTGTGATCACATAAATGTTGCACTGTCCCCTCGTCTGAAAGAATAAAGACAGAGGAAAATACACAAAACGTTTTGTATGATATTTGTACCAGGCAGCTGATAACAGGTATCCTTCCAGGAGTCCGGGCCCCTGGCATCAGGCACTGCTGCAGCTGATGTCCATGATTCCCCGCTGCCTGCCTGGAAAGCATTTCCAGCCACGGCTCAGGGCTGTAAACTGAGGCAGAGGCCCCCTGACTGAGGAGATGAGGAGAGAAAGCTGTGGCTGGCAGTGCCCACATCAGAGGACCAGAGCTGCGCGGGGCAGGAGCTGGGCTCAGCTCAGCGGATCACTGAGGAGCAGAGGAGGGAGGAAACTGGCCAGGGCTGGAGACAGGAGAGAGGAGCGGTGAGGGTGATGGACACTCACAGGGGCCAGGGCAGTGCCCGAGGCCAGGGGCCAGGCTGGCAGCTCAGCTCCCCTGGGATGTGCTGCGGTGCATGGGGGGCTGTCTCCCCTTGGTAATGGGAGACCTAGGCTTAGAGTGGTAAGCAGTACACACACACACACACGCACGCACGCACGCACGCGCACGCGCGCGAGAGCGCTTTAAAAGTAAGAACCGACAGAATCCATTTCCAAAAATGTGGGTCCCCGAACAAAGGTCAATAGTATTTAAAGGAATACAGTAAAATTCAGAGCCAAAGAATGAAATTCCATATGTTGTTATCCTAATAAATTTACCAGGCCTGATCAGAGTTGGGAAACATACAAACCAAAGTCATAAAATAATTATTTACTATAAAACAACTTACAATTGATGTGTTCATTAGAATTAGTAGAAAATATGCTAAAATAATTTTATTTAGTGTATTATATTGAAATTTTTCAATATTACCAAGCATGCATTAATTTCACTCTTTTAACAGCCTTGAAACATTTCATTTTTTGTGAATACACTATAATTTATCTGTGCAGATATTATTTGTGGGTATTTTGTTTCTAGGCTTTTTTATAAATAGCAATTGGTGTGTAATATTAATTTCAATCTCTGAATACTTATACAAGCATATCCATAGGATTACATAGTTTATAGAACAGTTGTAAGGAAACACAGGATACATAACGTTTATCCTTTTACAGTGTGAAACTTAGAGCTTTTCCACTCTGTTCATGAGGCTCCATAAGCTCCCCGCTGCCTGCTCGCAGAGCCTTCATCACCCCGGAAATGCAGATATGCCCCAGACGGTCTCCCACTCGGCTTCCGCATGCCTGGCTCTTTCTCCTGCACATTCCGTATCCATGGAGTCACCCACTGTGAGATTTCATACAGACGTAAGGAGACAACATGGGATATTCATACATAACCCGCTGTGCTGCGGATGACCCAGTGTGTGGCCCACTGTGTTCTCCCCACCCGTCCTCGCTTGGCATCCATGTGGATTGTTCCTCCTTTTTGGCAAGGATAATAATGCTGCCACAAACATTTGTGCACAAGGTTTATACACACCCATTTTCAGTTGTGTTAGATTCATAACTAGGAATAAACAGCTGGTTCTCTTGATGACTCCATATGCAATTTTTTGAGGAGCTGAAAAACTATTCTTCATAGCAGTTGCACCATTCCATATTTCCCTTCAGGAATGTGTTCTACATCTTCAGTATATTTTCAGGATCAGTTTCTTTCC